TGCCTCCTGCTAACTTCCCCATCCCCCGCCTGCACCGCCACCTCTGCACATCCTCTCCCCTCCCCCACTGACCGCTGCTGCCGCCTCCCCTCAGCCCCTCTTGTACCCCACGGACCCCGCCCCCGTCCCCCTGCTTCCTCGCTCCACTCCTGCTGTCCCCCCACAAGGTGACCCCTTCTCCCGCAGGCGTGAACCGGCACTTCCACATGATCTGTATCAGGGACAAGTTCAGCCAGAACATCGGGCGGCAGGTGCCATCCAAGGTCATCTGGGACCACCTGAGCACCATGTATGACATGCAGGCACTGGTAAGCCGGAACCCGCCCTCCGCAGCGACCCCATGGCCAGAGCCCCGCCTCCCCCTGGGCGGAGCTCGCAGCAGTGCCCCCTTCACGCCTCCTGGGTCTGTGCCAGGCCCTGTCCAGAGAGCCCGCCATCCCCGTGGGGACCAGCCATTAAGTAAGGCAGCTCCAAGTGGTTTTACGAGAAGCACGGACCTAGCATAGTAGTTGGTTGCCCAGCGGAGCCTGCTTCAGGTTGGTGGTCAGTGTGGTCTCTCCAGGGAGAGACCCTGGGAACCCAGCCCCAGGAAGGGGCCCTCAGGCCACTCTGGGTCTCATGGGAGGTCCCAGAGTGCTCAGGGCAGGAACAGGACCAGATCCCAGCCAGGTTAAGGCGAGAATGGGGCAGGCAGGGTCCTAGGCCTCGGGGAACTCCCGGCTAGTCAGGGACAGGTGGTGGTTCCTGGCAGAGGAACCGCAGGTGTCAGGCCCTGCGGTGGAAGGAGTGGAGGGGCCACGGAGCTCAGAGGAGGGGAGTGCACCTGGGGGGTGGGGGTGGGGGCTGCCGCCAGGAACTGGTGCAGGGTCGGGGAGGGCTCTGCCTCCTCGGGGACTCTGGGCTATGACAGCCCTCCCAGCTGAGGTAGAGGCTGTACCCGGCCCCTTACGTCCTGTGCTGCGCTTCGCTTCCTGTTGGCCTTGGGCGGGTCATTTGGGTCTCCTTGTTGTAAATAGATGGGATAAAGGTGACAGCTGTGCCCCGGACCCACTCACAGGGTGACTGGTAGGGGACCTGGGAGCCTGTAGGAGGTTTCGCAGCTCCTGGAGATGCTGATCATACATACACAGCTGGCCACCTGGCTCACACCGCCCCCCGAGTGGTGAGGTGGAACCCCTCCCACCAGCCCACCTTTCCTCCCCCAGGGCTCTGTGTGTCCTGGGTATCTGTACTTTCTGGCACGTGACCTACAGGACAGGAGGAACCCTGACAAGCCCTCAGTGGTGCCTGGCACCTCTCTGCTCTCTCTACCAGTTTTCTGTGGGGTGGCTTTCCCAGCCGACACCCTCAGGGTCTTCAAACTGCCACCTGCATAGACGACAACCTCATGGCTGTCACTGCCCTCAGCACATGACAGCTGCTGCCCACTTCTGTCCCTGAGGGTGTCTGCCAGCAGGCGGGGCAGCCCCAGCGTCGTCTCAGGTGACACAGCTCTCATGCCTCCTGCCGGTGCTGGCACCGTACTTGTGCCTTTCTGGGTCTGTGACTGCCAGCAGAAGCCCGAGCAAGCTTCACCTCCGCAGCCCTCAGTGGCCCCCAGGACGGCTCTGGGTGCTCCTGAACTGGCTCATTTTTAGTCATTCGCTAAAACCACGTTTTCTTTCTTTTCCTTAAAAAAATAAAACGCCATCTTCGGCATCAGCACGAATCTGAGATTCTTCCATTTCCAAACCCAGAGAGGAACTTCGTCCTTCCGGAAGAAATCATTCAAGAAGTCCGTGAAGGTGAGGCTCAGGCCAGGTCGGGCGGTCAGCTTTGGGAACTAGGAAAGGCGGGCTGTGGTGCTGGAGCGAAGGTCACAGACCTCAGGGAGGAGCCAGGTCTCTGGCACGAGCTGCTCGGCCCACCTGAAGCGGGGAGGACTGGGCGAGAACTGTTGGCTTCTTTAACGGTGGCCAGAAGCCGCCGTGGCCCACACGTGTTCCTGGACGGGGAGCAGTCGTGCCTGAGCCAACCGCAGGACAGGCAGGGCCTTGTCGCCCACCCGCGTGGCCTTCCGGTAAACGTCAGCCATCTGCCCCACAGGAAAAGTGATCATCGAGGAGGAAATGAAGGAGGAAATGAAGGAAGACGTGGACCCCCACAACGGGGCTGACGATGGTAAGAGCGGAGCGTGCCCCGCCCCCACCCCCCGAGACCCCAGGGACATAACGCCCCGCCGCTGGCAAGGCCTCGCCGCAGGGCGCAGCCGCAGGTCCCGGCCTGGATTTCTGGTCCCTTGCAGCCGGAGCCACTCTGTCTGGCCCAGCAGTTGAGAAGCAGCTTCCGTCTGCTCGGGCAGGAGCCTCGCCATGTGGACGTCAAGCATGTGGCCGGCGCCATGAACGCACCACGGCGGCCTCGGGCACCGGGGCCCAGTCGGGTGGACCCAGTGTGCCGTGCAGGGCCTCCGCCTGCGTGAGAATGTGCCGGCCATCCCAGTGCAGGACAAACCCTGAGTAGCAGCCGGCTCCACCCGGCGGGACAGGCGTGAGTGGCGGCCGAGCGGTCCTGCAGCCAAGCCCGTGCTGCCCGAGGCCCGCACAGCGGCCACGTCCTCAGGAGGACCGGACCCTCCCCCGGGCCGGGCGGGCACCCCCAGCTCAGGAGAAGCTTGTGGGTTCAGAGCGGCGTGTACGTAGATACAGAAGTTTTAACTGAACAGGAAGATGAAATAAAATCCTGGATGTTCTGTTTTCAGCCAAATGATTTTGTCTCCCAGTTTTCTCGTCTTCAGGAAGCTTGAGCAAAGCGACCGAAAAGTCCGGCAAAGACAAAGACAAGAACTCCTCAGACTTGGGGGCCAAGGAAGGGGCGGACAAGCGCAAGCGCAGCCGGGTCACCGACAAAGTCCTGACCGCGAACAGCAACCCCTCCAGCCCCAGTGCCGCCAAGCGGCGCCGGACGTAGACGCTCCCCAGAGGCAGGCGGGCGGGGCCGTGGTCA